GCATATGCCTTTCATCCCAGTACTCAAGAGGATCTCTGTGAGTTCAAGGCCAGCTTTGTCTACACTGTAAGAACTAGTCTCATACCCCGTGCCCCGACCCCCACAAAAGTGAGTTATGGAACTTTTAATCTTAGTGTTGGTGATGAGTGTGGGGTGGAGACATGCTGATCCCTGGGGCTTGATGAATAGTCAGTCGAGCTGACTAGTGAGCTCCAGGCTTAGTGAGATGACAGACCTGCTCAGAAAATAAGCTGGAGGGCTGGAGAGATGGCTGAGTGCCTAATAGCACTAGCTGTTCTTGCAGAGGGCTCAGGTTTGTTTTTCAGCACCCACATGATAACTTACAACTATCTGTAGCTCCTGTCCCTAGGGATCTGAAGCTCTCTTCTGGCCTCTGCTGGCTCCAGGGATCTACATGCTGCACAGACATATATCCAAGCAACATGCTTATACACATGAAATAAAATAATAAGTCTTAAAAAATACAATGTAGACACAATTGAGAAAGATACTCAGTATCAACCTTGGACCTGCACACACACACACACACACACACACACACACACACACACACACACACAGGAAAAGGCAAACACATATACACATGCATTCACACATATAATTATCACTGTGATCCCGGCCCCGAGAAGAGGTGCGTCAGAGGCAAGAAAATTCTCATGTGAGAATGAGCTCTCCTAATCAGTTCTACTAACCAGGCCTGGTCCTACTTAGCATCCAAGATCAGCCAGATCGCTTGTATCCATAATGGTGTGGCCAGGGAAAGGAATCAGATACACACGCGAGTACAACTGGGTAGTGGCAGCTGTGAAAAAGCAGGCTATGGGGACATGCCAGCTTTTTATCAGGGACTAGGGGCATCTGGACTGTGTCTTAAAGTCTTGGAGACTGGCTAACATAAGTGTGTCCAACACGCTGCCGTCATGCCACACTAAATACAAACCTCCTTCAAACAGTAGTAACTGGGTCGGGTTGTTCTCCAGTACGGACTTTGCAGATGACACTGTGACATGATGTCATCCTCAAAGTTCATGTTTGAGGATCGCGAAATCAAGTTGCAATTACTTCCAGTCCTCGAGAGATGGCTCACAGGGAAAAAACACCTGTCACTAAACTGATGGCTTTTGATCCCGGGGCCCCACATGGTAGAAGGATAGACTCTACACTGAAAGCTGTCTTCTATCCCTAAACACAATGAATACAAAAAAAAAAGAGTTGTTCACTAGAGAGATGCCTCAGCAGTTAAGAGCATTGGCTACTCTTACTGAGGTGAGGGTCTGGGTTCAATTACCAGCACCTACACTGGCTGGTAACTTTCTGTAACTCCAGTTGCAGGGGACCTCTTCTGGCCTCTGTGGGTACTGCACACATTTGGTGCTTAGACATTAATGTAGGCAAAACACACACTCGAAAATTTTAACCAACCCCCCAGCAAAAATCTCATAATGTTTGAAGTGAGTTTATAATTTTGCATTGGGCTGCATGCATGGCTATCCTGGGCTATAGATGCAGCAGATTAGACATGCTCATATATGAGCTGTGCCATACTATATTATGTGTAAACTATTTTGCAGACTCCCTCTGGCTCCATGGAAGGTGTGAACTGAGACTGGGATAAATATCTAATGCTGGCATTGTAACTTGCGATTAAAGACTTGTCTAGTTCCAAGATGATATTAGAAGTGCTTACAATGGTGAACTCAGGGCTTGTAGAAGAGGGGGCAGGTAAACCCAAGGCCAGCATCAGCCCGGCCTCCTACCCATGTGAACTCCAACTGGGAAGCAAAAGAGGAAGCAGGACCAGTTCTCACCAGCCAGTGTAGAAACCCAGGCCATGGGTGGCATTGGAAGCCCAGGGCTCACCAGGAAAACAGAGGACTCATATGCAGCAGCGCCAGGCTAAGTGTCTCATGGCTCTGGTGGCCTTTCTATTTCTGGGACTAGTTGGGCAGAGTCTTTCTTCACTTTGATGAAAGAAATTGTGGGCAGCTTTGCCAGGCACGAGTGACCCCCTGCCTCTGCCAGTACAAATATACCACCGCAAAGCAACCACAGTATTGTGCCATGTCAAACAGGGCA